CCCCCTCTGCATCCTCGGGCCAGGGCGGGCGATGGGTGGGAGATGGCACCTCAAGGCACCCCAGGGATGTGCAGGGTCGTTACCGATATATTTAGCTCTGGGGAGTCCAGGAGCTCTTTTTTCTCCATGACAAACCGTGGGGAAAGAAATTTTCCCCAACCTTTCTTGACCCAACTCCTCAACTCCCCATAGCAGAGCAGGCTGGGCAATTCCTGATGGAGGATCTGCCCCTCCTGGACCTCGTGATGGATCGAAAACTCAGCCACTCACATTCTTTGCTGCTTTTCCCCTCTGTTTCCCCAGAAATATCGTCTCGGAGCTGGAACAACTCATCTTTATCAACACGGACGTCGGCCGGTGCCGCGCCTGGCTGCGGCTGGCGGTGAAGGGGCCTCGTGGAGTGTTACCTGCAGCTGCTGCTGCGGGAGAAATCCCGGCTGCCCGAGTACTACCAGGCGACCGCGCTGCTCTTGGACGCCGAAGAGTGCGAGTTTCTCCTTAGCTACCTGCAGGGTTTATCGTCCTTAACCTTTGAGCTCTCCTATAAATCGGCGGTTTTGAACGAGTGGACCATCACCCCACTGTCCCTGTCGGGTCTGTGTCCCGTTTCGGAGCTGCTGGAGCCCCTCACGTCCTCGACGTCTGAACCCCGCAGAAAAGCGTCACTGGGTTCCATCTCCCAATCGTCGGGCTCGGATGAGATCGAGATCCAACCCTCTGTCCTCCCCATCTGCAAAGCCAGCGGCAAACCCAAGCTCACGTCATCCTCGCTGAGCCTCAACACCACCAGTTCATCCCAGCTCTCCTCCAGCCTGGGCTCCGACAGCGTCCTCCCGCCTCCCTGCGCCCGCAGCCCCGAGCGCAACGAGGAGCCGCTCTCCTGCGACTCCGACCTGGGGACGGCCACTGCCGAGGACCTGGACAGGTCGCTGCAGGAGTGAGTTTTTTCCCAGACTTCCTCTGCAAAAGGATTTTTAACCCTCATTTATTTTCTTGCTATAGGCAGGGAGGTTTTTTTCCCCATTTTTCTTTAACAAGCTCTTTTTTTCTTCCTGGAAAGAGCCTGAAAGGTAAAAAAATGCTCAGCACGGCTTGCTGGGACCCTGCTGCCATGCCAAATGAGCTCCTGGCCACTGAAGTGTGTGTCTGTCCTCCTTACTGGGGTAGAAATGTCAGAAAAATGCTGCTCCCCAGTTTCAGGAATGTCACATCGCCCTGACGCACGCTGGGGGATGCTCCAGGGCTTTCTGCAGGCAAGAAAAAATGAGTTTGGTGGCAGGAAAGGATTATAATTTGCAGCTTGGGCAGATAATTACGAGGAGGGAGGTTGTTAGTTTGTCATGCCTTGTCATTTTTTTGTGCCAAACACCCAGAACAAAGATTTCCGGCGGGTTATATAAGCTCTGAGTAATCAGTAAATATTTTCCCTGCCACCTTTAAAGCCTGGCTCTGGGGGAGCCTGGTCTTGGGGTGCTGGTTGGCAAAGGCACCCTTCTCCCAAAAAGGGTCTTGAAGAGGTTTTGGGGCTGCAGCTTGTTCTTCCCCATCAATAATGGCATCGTTACCTACTTTAGGATTTTATATCTTATGATCATCCTGGAAAAACCCTTCTTGATGGGATTAAACCCGTGATGGAAAGCTGTGGGTTTGAGTTTTCATCTCGGGCTGGCTGAATTTGACGGAGCTGGTGGCAAAGCGGGGGCATGGGAACAGCATCTCCTCTGGCCAGGCTCCGCGGATAATTGCTCGTTAACGCAAATGAAAACATTTGAATTTTGGCACATGGTCCAATACGTGTCCGGGAGCCGTACGCAGGGCTGGGGGGAGCACCCAGCAACCCCCCCTCCCTCACGAGGAGTACAACAGAAGGAAATTAAACCCCGTTCACGGGCGTAGGTGGGAAATGCATCGTTTGGAGCCAGGGTCCGTGCCTGCGGTGGGGCTGACGGCTGCTCCGGAGGGCCCAAATCACACATTTTTCTCTTGGCAGGAGTGATGCCACAGGATTTTTTTTTTTGCATCCATGCATTGCTGCCAGCCTGCACGAGATGAGCGGTGATGCTGAGCCTGTTATTTGTTATAATTTGCAATAACTGGGGGGGTTTTAGAGCTCCTGGTTAACATACGTTCAAACCGTTCGCTTTTCTGTTTCCAGGGTGTTGTCGGAATTCAGCAAAGCCAAGCCAAGCTGGGAAGCCCCAGAGGGAGTCCCCAGTGGGCTGGGCTGCTCCCCACAGCACCC